TCCCTACAGGCAAACGCTTCCTGATGTGTATTGTCATGGATTAGGTTTGTTCATTCTCAGGCTTCAAATAAATGAAATTATAGATAGATAGGTAGATAATCATATATATATGATTCAAATCTTAGCTCTGGATTCAAATCTTAGCTCATTCATATATATCATATCTATTATATATGAATGTATATGAATATGTATTATATATTATATGAATATATAATATATATGAATAGATATATATATGAATATATATGATATATATGAATACATATGATATATATGAATATAATATAGGTATGATACATATGAATATATCATATATATCATATATGAATAGATATATGATATATACTATATCATATATAATATATATCATATATATTCATATATAATATATATATATCCAGAGCAAAGGATTCAAATAATATTCAAATATATATTATTGAATATATATATATTCATACATATTACATATAGTATTATTCATATATAATATATTCATAGGTATTTATATATCATATATTCATAACATCTATATTATATATATTCATATATATCTATTCATATATATAGCATGAATGAGCTAAGGTTTGAATCCAGAGCTAAGATTTGAATCCAGCTTTATCTGACTACAAAACTTAAGGCATTATTTTAAAATAATGGAGCTGGAAACTTCAGACATGCGAGGGCAGCAATTATGCCTTACATACCGTTAATATTTACTTAAGCTGACTGAGAGATAAGTCAAAATACAAAACCCAAGAATAAAGGCTATGAGCAGTAAACAAGAGGGCAAAAGCATCATTAAGCCTAAGTGAGAAATATCCAGATCATTATGTGAAAATGTTATATTGAAGAATAAAGTGTATATATGTGTGTAATATATATAATATGTATGAAATACATATATAACATATATATGAAATATATATATATTTCTTCTGTGTCTGCCTTCTTTTGCTTAAAATGATATTTTTGAGATACATGCCTGTGTGGCACGTCCCAGTAGTTTATCCTTTTTATTTTTTCTGTTGAGTAGTATTTTGTGGCATAAATACATCAAAATTTGTTTTTCTATTCTCTCATGTATGAATATTTGGGTTGTTTCCAATTTGGAGCTATTATGACAAGAGTTACTATGAACATTCTTGCACAAGTCCTTGGGTAGACAAACACTTTCATTTCTCTTGTGTAAACAGCAAGGGGGTGGAATTGCTAGCACGTAGGACAGATGTGTGTTTGACTTTATAAGAACCATTGAACAACTTTACGAAGTGACCATATCATAGTACTGTCCCACCACCAGATGATAAGAATTCCAGTTGCTCATCTTTACTACCATTTTATATTTGACAGAAATCGACTTTGTCTGATATAAACCACATCAACTTGCTTGTACTTAGTGTTGCATAGTATAGCTTTATTTCCACCCCTTCCTTTTTAACCAGCTAACGTATTTACATTAAAAAATTTTTTTTCTCTTATAGACAACATATATTTGGGTCTTGCTTTTTTATTTATTTATTTTTTTGATACAGAGTTTTGCTCTTATCACCCACGCTGGAGTACAATGGCACAATCTCAGCTCACTGCAACCTCCGCCTCCCGAGTTAAAGGGATTCTTCTGCCTCACCTCCCAAGTAGCTGGGACTACAGGTGCACAGCACTACACCTGGCTATTTTTTTTTTTTTTTTTTTTTTTTTTTTTTTTAGTAGAGGTGGGGATTTACCATGTTGGCCAGGCCAGTCTCAAACTCCTGGCCTTGGGTCTTACTTTTTTATCCTGTCTGACCCACCTCTGACTTTTAAATATTTAGTCTGTTTATATTTGATGTAACTACTTATATTTTGGAGTTTAAAACTTACACCTTCATACTGTTGTTTTACTTGTCTTAACTGTTTTTGTCCCTGTTTCTCCCTTCCTGTCTTTTTTTTACGAATTGAGTCCTTTTAGTAGTCTCTCATATCTTCTTTATTTATCTTAGATTTTATTGTGTTTTTTTTTTTTTCCTAATGGCTACTCTGGACATTTCAACACACATCTATCACCTATTCATGTTCTACTTTAAAATAATATATTTCTTCACAAATGATATTAGAGTTTTAAATTTTTATTATATAATGCCATTTGTCCACATACACACTCTTTCTCTTCCTATTGTCATAAGTTTTACTTTTACATATTTGTAAAGCCCATAATATATTGTTATGAGTTTTGCTTTAGTCAGTAATCTTTTAAAAAAATTTGTTGTTTAACCTTTCTCGCTGACAGTTGTGTCATCTGTGAATCTGATTCTGCTGATTATTTTTTCTCTTAATTGCAGGGCATGTTTTACTCTTTTTAGCATGTTTCATGATTTTTTTTTATTGTATGTTGGACATTGTGTGAGAAAGAACAATAGAGATAATATGGTAAATAATATTTTCCCCAGAAAGTCCGTATTTCTTCCTATCTCAGTCCTCTAGGGTGGCAGACAAGTCAATCTAATCTGTAGCTGAGCTGGATCTGGTCTTTCTTGAAGATTTAGTTAGATTCATTTTTCCACTAGTGTCACAGGTGAGAAATGATAAGGACAATCACTTCAGCAAGCCTTGCAATTTGTCCAGTGTTTTACGTAGAAAATTTATGCCGCCAACCTCTTGGGTCACTGAGGAATTCATTTTCTCTCCAGTATTATCTACAGCTTTCTGCAAGCTGGAAGATCTCGTTCTACTCTGACGTATGTCCTTGGTCTTTGATAAACTGTTGCTTTGCACTCAGTGAAGAGTTTGTGTACTTTGGGGGATTTTTTACTCAATTTTTAGCCTCTGATAGGTTGCTGCCGTGGTGTTTGGTTAAATTAAAATTAATTATAATTTTTGAAAATAAAGAATTCCATAGCACTGTAAAGGCAGTTCTACTTCGACACATACTGCCTCTACCTGTACTATAGAATTTTACATGTAATTAATCAATACAAAATAGTTTGTATTCTACTTTAACCTGAGCAAGGGTAAATTTGTCAGGTAAACTATTGCTAGGCCAGTGTCAAGTCCAGATTTATTTTACTTAAATAAAAGTATTAAAAGAACATCTGTTTGATAACATTAACAAACATATTTATTATTGTGCATATCAAAAACACTTACAGTTTGATATTATGTGCAAATACCAAAAAAAAAAAAAAGCATGCTGTTTCTTTTGTCTGCAAAACCATGGTCATACTTGCATTACTTAGAATTTACGTTCAGATGTGCCAGAGACGCTAGAAGCAGACACCTGATCACAGTGTACATAGCCGTTAAACTTTCTAAGGGTAGATGATATCTTATTTGCTTTTGGGTTTCTGGCACTGAGCACAAGGTGAATACAGAAAAAAAAATAGCTTTGAGAGAGCAATAACAATTCACAAGTAACCTTCAACAGATGAAACACAGGTATCTAAAGTGATATAATCAGGCAAGATTCCACTGGCATTTCTTACTTTAATGAGTATCGTCCTGGAAGCCATAAGCAGTATTTATTTCTGGGTCACCTAGCCTATTTTCCCTCTCAAAAAACATGTCTTGGAAAAGGAAATTTCCTGCCTTCTAGTTCTGTCTCAGTTATTGTAGGGTCCCTTGCTCTTCCTGAACCCAACATATCAAGCAGAAAGCAATAGGGTCTCCCATAATGCACCTACGTCTTGCAGTACTATGCCAGATGAAGAGATGTTTTTTGGAGACCCCTCTATCGTCTTTTAAATCAGCTGTAAGCAGCTGGCAGATGTACCCAGAGGCGGGTTTAATGTGCTTCCTGACAGAGACTCCTTCCTTCTTTTCTCCTCCACTCCCTCTTTGTCCCACTTTTACTCACCTCACCTAGGAAATCATTTTCCTTGGGCTACAAGAAAGAGCAGCATCTGGTCTCCTTGCACCCTTGTCTGGGCATTTGATGGTACTTACAGTTCTCTACACACACAGTATTGCTCAGAAGTTCTCTGAACCTTTGGTCATGCTGATGTCTTTGCCTGGGACAATTATCATCCCATTGCTGTGGCTAAATGTACAAAACTGAGCCCAACATCAGGATCTGAGGAAGGCTTTCAGGAGGAAGTGATACCTGAAGTCAGTGTCCCTCATCTGGTTCCCGTAACACCCAGGAGGTATGCACCTCGCTTTAGACTTGACACACCATACTGCTTTCCTGTCTCCTCCCACTAGACTAGTTTCTGGGATGCTCCCGGATGGAGACCCTACCCGATCTGTTTGTTTCCACTGTGTTTGAACATAGTGACTAGATCATAGTAAGTGCCCAATAAATATTTACTCAACTAGTGGAAACCAAGATGGGCACATCTCTCTCCTGTTCTCTGTTCTCCTAATATGGTTGAATGTCTCTTCTGCAGGGTAACTACTTCTACTTGTCCAGGAGTCTGGGGCAGAAAAGCTGAGCCTGTTCACATCTGAATGAGTTTGATTCTTTCTAGTCTGTTTTGGGCGATGCAAGGATATGGCTCAAATGCCTTGCTTGAACGCAGTGATTTTTAGCTTGCCAATTTGGTAGAGTATCTCTAAGTCCAGTTAGCTTTTGTATAATGCCATGGGATAGTGAAATATTTATTTTATAATCCTCTGACTAATCAGATACTACCTAATACTTGATTCTAGAAGAGGCAAAGGTACACTGGAAGACTTTGTTTCATGAAAGACTTAGATTTCATGAAAAATCTATTGAAGAAAGTTTCAACTGAGGTATTTATATATATATATCGATTAATTTTGTTTTGTTTCAAGTTGGAAGAGACAGCTGCTATCTAATTTTTGCCAGTCTGTGACGTTGCACAGGAATGATACTCGAGAACCTCTCCTCAGTTATGCAAAATTGCAGTTAAATACACCACCTATGAGCAATAAGTTATTTTAGTTCATAAAAATATAAGGAATTTTTATTTTGATTAATGATGTTTGCTTCCTGAAACAGGCTCCTAACTGGACCTTGCTTATTGAAGAGAGTAACTATTTGCCATCTTTTTCCTTCTCAGGCTGTGAGGTTGAGATTCTGGGCTTCAGACCCACCTACTGCTTGGAATATAAAAATGTCCCAACGGATATCAATTTTGCCAATGCCATCAGTGACGCTCTTGACTCACTCAGGTAAGCGTCCCAAACTCTCAACCCCACCAATGTTCTTTGTTTCCAGGCCTGATCATGGATTCCAAAGCGATTAAGAAGGCTTGGTGGAGGTGAAATAATGTTTCAGAGAGCGTCTTGCATGTGATCAGCTGCTACCATGGAGTAATTGTGAGCAAGTGATTTCAGGCAGGGGCAATCTCTGGAAACGTTGAATTGAGAGAAGGAAAATCCCTAAGGGTTTGAACCACCTTTTTTATGTTGTTAAACAACGGGGAAACAATATAAATGTCAGCATTTCCCTAAGCATGATTCAGTGAACAATTGCGTCTCTGAAGGTACTAGTAAGTATTTGGCAAAATGGAAGGATATGTGGTCAAATGAGTTTCAGAAAATTGCCTACCCTACCCCCTTCTTGGAAATGTACAAAGAGTATGGGTATGTTAGAACGTGGAATCTGTTTTTGCCCTCCCACATGGAACTGTGACACACAGTTTGAAAAATGTAGCAATTCGTAATGCTGTCTTGTACAGAACACAAGAGTCTGTCAAGGGAAACTGATCACAGCAGTTTAGGACAAAGCCTCAAGTCAGTCTCAGAACTCTCTGAAAGTGGAAGTCAAGGTGGGAGCCCAGGTGAGAGTTGGCATTCAGTAGAGATCAGCAACCAAGAGACTATGGATGGTGGGGGCTGTTGAGTTTCCAGAAGCGGACTTGAGGTCACTGTGGCCACCGAATAGGTTTTCTGGGTGCATCAGGCAGAAGACCCGCCATAAGCAGAGCATACAGACCAGGACAGGACCTTCGTCCCTCCAAGGAAAGGAGCCTGGTTTCAAGCTGGGCACATCTGAGAGCCAAAATACCCAAGGCACGGTGTACACAGCACCAGCATGAACCACATGAATGGCCCTGTCACTAAGGCTGCCTCAGATCCAGAGCTGATCAATCATGGATTTTCTTCCTGCCATGCCCCTCCCACAGCATGGTGAACAGCAGCTACCCCCACAGAGCTGTGAAAGCAGAAAACAGCACCCTGCCTTTACTGCTTCTTGGAATGATTTTACTTCCATGAAACCTATCAAGAGGGTCCGGGGAGGTGGGGGCACATAAAGGTTCATGCTTTCAGTGACAGTTCAGAGAGAAAATTGGTATAAAATACATGGAAATGGAGAAGTAATTGCCCGTAAGTGCTGGAGAACCACACACGGGAGGAGCCGGGATATTGCGTTGCAGTCTGGTTTTGTGTGACTGACGCAGAATAGCGCAGCATGTGCGGCAGATGAGCGGGGCTGGAACCTGGGCATTGCTCCACGTCTAACCAATGCTGTTTCCAACATATCCAGAATGCTGGCCATCCCCACAGCCCGTAGCTGTGCCAAATATGAAAATTTGGATTCGAGTTGCCATACAAATACCTCCAAATAACCCAACAGTCTGTTTGGCGATGTCATCCTTTTTGCATTTATCTTAACAGCTGATGGACTGTCACTCTGTACCATCCAGTGACTCACAGGCAGGTGAGCACAGAGCGCACAGCCATGAGAATCCTAGGTTGGCGCTGGCCTGCTAGCTGGCTGTTCGAAGTAGACTTCCCTGTCCAGAGAGACACCAGCATGTGGAGGGGAATAAATGCTGGGCTCTGTTTCCTCTAGAGAAGCTATGGAAATGCATCTTTCCCTTGGGGAGCATTTAGGAATGGGGAAGGTTTCAGGGTGGTGGTAGTGGTGGGGTGGGGGTGTTGGTGGGATGTGAGCGTATATCTACCATAGGTATTGGGTTCCACTAGAAAGAAAAGCCTGCAAAGAACTGGAAGCCCAGGAAAGTGTCTCCAGCTACGTCTCTACCTAATACCATAACACCCAGTTCCACATATTCATATTGTGGTCCTGAGCTCCACAGGATGGCATTCATATGGTCTGCAATGAGAGCGATGCCCCTGAAGCACTGGGGGCCTCAGTAGAATGGAAACCAGGCCAGTGCAATTGTCTCATGGGGTCTTCATATTGCCAAAATTAATAGGGCCACTACAAACAGCCCCTTTGGGCAGTTGGTGAAAACACAGAGACCCACTATCTCCAAAGCTAGACAACTCTTGAGATGAGAGAAAGAAAAGAACAATGGACAGTGCTGCCTGTGGAAGACAGTGAGATGGCTTAGCCCCCCCACAACGACACAGGAAGCCCCTCCTTCAGCCGACCTGTGTGTTATTAGAACATGTCTCATTACCAGCTTAACAAAGAATAATAAAGGCCTGAAAGTTACGGGTCAACATTTTTCTTTGAAAGATATCTAACCTTTGTCCCCTTCATGAATGAGGCGAGAGAGAAAGATGTCTAGGACAGTCTAGACCAGTCGCAAGCACTTTGCCTGTAGTAGCTTGTCTATGCAATCGTGTGGCTCAAAGGGATCATGACATCTCTTGGTATGTGTGTCTGGCAAAGATGTGGGATTATTGATCCCAAAAAGAAGAACCTGTCTAGAATGCCACAGCTCACCTCTTGACTTCTGTTCAGCTCTGCTGCAAATTCCTAACTACAATTTGAGGAGCACTTAGAGTTTTCAGACATGAGTGTCCAAACATACACACACATTTCTCCCGGTCAGTACACAAGACTCATAGATGTCTTTCTTTGTCCACTTTGCTATTAGTTTGAGAGGCAGGAGAATGGAACCCAGGATAGGTGGGCTTTGACAGAAAGCAGGAGAGGCTGCTAAGATCTTGAACATCGAGGTCTGCCCAGGGACATTTCAGCAGAGGGTCCAGTTCAGCCTGTGGTAGGAAGGGCAATCTCTCACCCAAGTTTGATCCGGGCATAGCTTTCTGGTGCCCATAGTGCATTACTGACCCCAGACACATCCTTGTGAAATGCTGCCTTTAACTTGGACAACTTCTAGAATAGGGAAAAGGAGGAGGGACAGGGATTAGAGTTTTAAGAGCCATTGGCTAGTATTGTGTCAACGGGCTTTATTTCCAGTAACCCACTTGGTTCTTACGTCCACGGTTTTGGGTAGCCATTGCCCTTCTGTCTTACGAAAGCAGCCGCCGGCTCTCTGAAGGTTAAACACTTCTCCTTGCTCCTCACAAGCCAGTCAGTGGTAGAGCCAGTGCTCAGCTCTTTCCACAGAGGCTTAGGGCCCCCTGTCTCTGGAGACCTGCCTTGAGGACATGGTGACTGAGAACCACTCCAGGGTCAACCCCTCAGTCCTCCACCCTGGTCTCTGCTAGCTCACACCTCTAAGACACGCTGAAATTGAGACAGCAAGAGAAAGTCCAGACATGCTTCTTTGCAAGTCTCCTCTTCGGGGCCATCCAAAGGCCTGGAGTTCTGCAGCCTGCTCAGGCATTGCGTGTCTGCAGCCCATGACCCACTGGAGCTGTGTGCCTCCCACCACATGTGGGCACTCTGTAGGCAGCACCCCCACACACACAGGGTCCTTCCCCCGTCTGAAAAGGAAGCAGGGTTTGTGATCTGCCTCACTTACTTCCATCCTCCTAGAAGTCCTATTTGCAGGATATTCATGGTTCAGTGGGCAGGAAAAGGTCCATGGTGCTAAAGCTGAAATAAGCCTTGAGTGGCTCCTGGGTGGGTAGAGGAGGGCAGGGGGCAGTCACGGTGGGCCGGGCAGCTGCTCCCAGGCTTGTAGAGCAGATACACTGTGCAGTCTCACAAACGCATCAGTCAGGAGACGGCTGGGCTGCGGGACAGTGGGCGCAGCCATGGGCTGTGTATAGACAGTCCTTTGTCAAGCTCCAGGTGACTGAAGACAGCTCCAAAGGACTTCCTCCAGGATCCCTGGAGCCTCACTCGTGCCTGGGTGAATGAAGGAGTGGATGACACAGCTCTTTCCACAGGCCACCAAGAAGCCAGCTCCTCTGTCCTGGCTGGTCCCTCCTCCCTGTGGAGTACAGGGAAGAAGGAGGAGGAATCAGGCTGGGTCTGGGAAACTGGCTCCTCCTCCCTGCTTGGCCACATACTCAGGAAAAGCAATCTAGGGGCATCTGGAAGGAAAAGAGAAATGGGAGGCTTTTCTTTCCCCTCCCCTCCCTTTTACTATGTGCCGAGTGCTTTATAAACATCAGCTTGTTTAATATACCATGTTACCCTTTGATTAGCATGCTGCTAATGAAGACATACCCAAGTTACAGAGTAAAGAGGGTGAATTGGCTCGTAGTTCTGCAGGGCTGAGGACGCCTCAGGAAACTTACAATCATGGCAGAAGGGAAAGCAGACACATCCTTCTTCACATGACAGCAGCAAGAAGTGCCAAGCGAAAGGGGGGAACGCCCTTTGTAAACCATCGGATCGCATGAGAACTCATGTTCGTGAGAACAGCAGCATGGGGGCAACCACCCCTATGATCCAATCACCTCCCACCAGGCCCCTCTCACAACACACGGGGGCTGTGGGAGCTGTAATTCAAGATGAGATTTGGGTGGGGACACAGCCAAACCCTATCAAGTCGGTTTTTTAGTTGGGGAAATGGAGGCTTGGAGATAATCTTGCCACACATCCAAGGCCTCCAGGTGAGTAAGAAGAGAAGCCAGTGTTTGATTCCAGACTTGTCCAGTTCCAGTGACCCTGTCAAAAGATAAGTTTCAAAGTTAAGTCTCTGTCATGTGCTCACTATATCTGGGTATGAGGACTATGCCAAGGGTCAATGTAGTTTCTTGCCGAAGGGAACCAGGAGCATGACAAAGCTGGTAATAAGGAGAAAATGAGACACACACATCAGGAAACAGAAGGATGGACGATGATGAGGGATAATTATTGTTTGATGAAGGTATGCTTAATAACGTAGAGGATAATCACACCATAATTTTAGGGCTGTATTCTCGATCAGACAGAAATAATTTTCATCTTATCAGTTTCCTACGAGTTAGCAGCAAGGTTTCTAGAGCCTGAACACCAATCAGTAGTTCAGTCTGGTGACTCAAGCAAGCTTGTTACACAGTGCTCAGCACGGCACTGAGAAGGCAGGCCATCACACTGTAGGCTTTGTTTCTAAGTTTTGGATCATTTTTCTTAACAGTCACCCACTTCAGTAAGAAAAATGGAAAGAATATTAAGAGCTTTTTACATGGCAAAGAAATCTGGACAGAATCTGAACATGATGGGGGACTCAGGTGTCCCTGAAACCCCAAGGTTAGGAACCCCTTGCAGCTCTCAGGGAACTGTGCTGGTGGCCACAAGTCCTTCTGGAATGGTTCCTGGACCTTAGAGCTGTCAACGGCCAGTAGCAGATGGGCAGGCATGACTGCCCATCACTCCTCACCCAACTGATTCATTGCAAATGAGCTGACCTGGGATGGAGACCAGATCCATGTGGAAAACAGCTGGCAGGCAAGCATCTGTCAGCTGATCTCCAGACAGGCAAGAGGTCTCAGCCCTTGCAGATGTAGGTTCCTGATGAGTCAATGAAATGTCAACGTAGAATCCTTTCACAAGAGACATACGTGTGATCCCTGAATCACAAGCATCCCAAATCCAGGATTCCCAGCATCTGAGGTTGACAGCTTCTTGACCAAAAGCCATCAGATAAATTGTCATATGTAATGGCTGACATGGAGGTTTGTGAATATGGTGATAGCCCTAAAGAAACCAGGACAGTGAGTGCTGCACTAAGCTGAGATATCTAATGCGCGGAGACCTAGAAGTAGTTCATCCATTACACTTTGATGCAATGGTAAACTTTATTCATGAAAACTCCTCATTCTAGTAAGTCACCACTGAGTTTAATCGAATTTTTCCCTACATATAAGCCCACTCTGGAAGTGTGAACACCTAAACAGATGCCATGCTGTGTAAACAGGCACATCTGAAATGCTAAAGGTGCATGCACCTAAAGCAATGAAACGCTGAGGCTTATCCAAAGGACAGGTTGTATGGGAGTTTCACTGTGTTCGAAGATCGCAATGGCAGAAGTGCCATCAGCCCGTGAATCTAGCAAACTTAGGCCTTAAAAGAGTTCTGGCACATGTGTGAAATGCTACTATTTCACCAGCCACCTACACATTTGTAGGACCCTGAAGTGACTTTGTTCTCTGCTGCCTATAGATGCTGAAGGAGTTTGGATTAGTCATGCACACATTAGTGAGCGTGCATAATGATAATGCCATTTGTGAGGAACACCTAAATCATAACCTAATCCAATCCACAATGTGGAGGAGGGTGGTAAGGGGGATTTTTAACCAGGGACCAGTTTGTTTTATTCTAAAAAAAAGAAAACGTTTGACCAGCAATTTCGCTTAACTTGTAACCCATGTATCCTCAAAACTGTGAATGAAGTTCGCCTCAGGGCACCCAGGAGGGCAGGTAAAGAATGTGCCTCTTGCACATTTGACTGTGATGAAGGACGATGCCAGGAGAGCATTCTCAGGGACTTGCTCCCAGCTGAGTGGATGTGGAGGCTCAAAGTTCGCTAGAGTTACAAGTATCCTGCCTTTGGAGATGTGCTTCTAGCTGTGTCTCAGAGGTCTGTGAGGCCTTGAGCGACGTCTTTAAACTTCTTAGGCCTGTCTCTTCATCTATAAAACCTGCAAATGCTTTTCCATGAGGATACCTTTCACTGCCGTGACAGACGTGGGAGGCCGATTCAACCCGCAGACAGAGCAGCTGAGCGCACAGAAGGGAAAGAGACTTGATTTCACCGTCACACTCTGGCCTGTCCCACACCTAGCCTTCTAGGGGTTGGTAGAATTCATAAGAGAAGATCCATTTCCGAAAGATCTTTAAGACTAAGCAGAATGTTTCCTGGTTGGCGAGGGTGGGCGGCTGAGTTCCTCCGGAGCGTGCCGTGGTTGTGCTCTGGGGCTGGGAGTGAGCTGTACCAGGGTTTGAATCCCAGCTCCATCTTTTACTAGCTGTGTGATGTGGGCAACTGTCTTGCACTCTCTGTCCAAGACATTCCTACCTTTCATGGTTGTTTTGAAGATTAAGTAAGATAATGTGTGTAAAAGCTCTCAATGTAGTGCCTGACCCATAGGAGCTGTCACTTCCTGAGCGCTTTCTATGACTATACATTCAAAGGAGCGTTAACAGGGCTCCTGCCGTGCGCCAAACGCCAGGCTGGAGCTCAGATATGATGAACAGTACATCCTGGCTCCTACAGTAAATGAATCTCACAATTTAGACAGGGAACAGGACACGTAAGGGGGCAATTACTGCACAGTATGAAACGTCATAGCCCAGAAGTGAACACAGGGTGCTATGGGAACACACGGAGGGCTGCCCAATCTATCCGCAGGGCACCAGAGGAAGATTCCTGGAGGAGGCAGTACCTCTCCTGGGACCTGAAGGGTGAGCGGGAGTGGTTTAATGGGTCGGGCAGACTGAGCTCTCTGAGCTACCATGGGGCTGTTTTCCCTCCTTGTGGATGACAAGGTCCAAGGCTCTGCGAGCTCCAGGATACGGTCTTTCATTCCTCACGTTTTCAGTAGTGGGGAGGCCGCATCGGGGGAAGCAGTGCCACTGCATCTGTGTGCGTGCACGTTTGTGTTTAAAATCCGCCGAGAATATTACTTATTAACCTACGTCGAGTCCAAACAGGGAAGTGAGCTTTCATTGCTTTGCCAAGCTGCGTCGTTCCTTAGTCACTGCTAACGCCATCATCATCACCACCATGGCCATCATCATCATCACTCTGATCAGTTTCAGGTGCTTTGTGCAGAGGCTGTGGGAAAGCCAGCCCTGGGGAGGGAAGCCATAGTGGAAACACTGCAGAGAACATTCCAGGTTCTTCCTCCCCTCTCCCGGACTCTGCAAGCTTCCTGCTCCAGCTTATATCACTAGCTCCTAGTCCTTAACTTCGGGAATGAGGGTGAAACAGCTTGGGATTTTTACCATCGATACTCTAGCCAAGGGGCGTTTTGTCAGAATGGGGTCTTCCTGGGCCCATAGAAATGTCACTGCTAGAATTCACGTGCTATCAACATTGGAGCGGACCCATCCCAGGCCCCGCAGAGCAGGTGTCCAAGGGAGGCCCGCTGACGCCAGCCCCTGAACATTCATCCGTTTGCCTCCTGCAGGGGTGCTGTGCAAATGCTGTTCTCGTCCTGGCCAGCCCATTAGACTCACGATGTAGTGCTTAATTTAGAGCCTTCCTTAAAGCCCAGCAGTGACTGTACAGCAGTTATTTAAATGACAGCTTTGAGTGTTTCTGACCTGGTGACAGCAGGCGGCCAGGATGCACCAATAACTGTCGCATCTTCCCCATCTCCAAGGCGTGATGGGAAATCTTTCATCACCGAGGTGCTCAGGACCAGCAATTCTGGGCTCAGTGTGTGTTTCTCCCTTGGAGATGTGACCTCATTTGTTTTCACGTATGGCTTTTCCTGGCCCAGGGACAAGGTTTCGGGGGTGTGACCAGCTTCACAGAATGCTATAGGGGTGATAAGGCAGCAAGCTGCTGGGGGCCTCCCTTACCCATGCCTCTCTCCTCTGTCCCTCCAGGAGTGGCCGCGCCGACCTGGCAGCCATATACCACGAGCGCATCGACGTGGAAGGCCACCACTACGGGCCTGCATCCCCGCAGAGGAAAGACGCCCTCAAGGCTGTAGACACTGTCCTGAAGTACATGACCCAGTGGATCCAGGTGACCTGAAGCAGACATCCTGGCCTGGCCTTCTCTCTGCCACCCTCTGTTTCTCTCCTCCACAGTCAATCCCGTCAACGGCTTCCCTCTTACTGCTAAAAGCTGACTGCGCCAGCACGGGCTGTGACGGGTCCCTTTGCTTCACACAATGCCTCCTGCAGTACCAAGAGATCCCTTGTTCCACAGCCGGGCCAGTGAGAGAGAATGACCTAGGTGTGCCTTCTCGCCTGGCTCCGCTAGAGCGATACCAGCTCTGTGAAACCCTAATCAGTTTGGTAGAAGCTTGACAGGTGCACAGCTGCCCATCCTGATTCTACCACGTGCTTGCTGAATGATGGAACACGGGGGTTTGGTTTGCTTTCGCTTTTGTTTTCTCTTCCTGTGCCTTAGCCTGTACATCTGTAACATGGGCATGTGATAGTTCTCAAACGAGCACACGAGTTTGTTGAAAGAGCCGAAAAAGCTGAGAGTGCTGTGTAAGGTGTCGGCACGCACTGAACCCAGCCGAGCCGCGCAGTCCCCTCTGCAAAGGGCTGCCGTTGTAGTTTTGAACTGGGTCTCGCCAGGGCGAAATAGTAGATGATTAAACACAGAACTGAGAAGACAGCCTTTCTCCTATCGTCTGTAGTTGATGAGGTTTTCCGAGGGCAAGAGCCTCCCAGCTGGTGCTGTAACGACTGCCTTTCCCACCCCACAGGAGCGGGGCCTGCAGGACGAGCTGAACGTCATCATTTTCTCGGATCACGGGATGACCGACGTTTTCTGGATGGACAAAGTGATTGAGCTGAATCAATACATCAGCCTGAACTGCGCTGCAGCAAGTGAAGGACCGTGGGCCTGTTGTGAGCCTTTGGCCGGCCCCAGGGAAGCACTCTGAGGCAAGACAGCCCTGCGGGGCGAGGGGGCCAAGCGGGCCCGCGTTTGTGGCCACTTTGCAGGTGTATCCTCTTCTCTGTAGTTTTATTTATTTATGTATTTATTTAGAGATAGGAGTCTTGCTCTGTTGCCCAGGCTGGAGTGCAGTGGTGTGACCTTGGCTCACTGCAACCTCTGCATCTGGGTTCAAGAGATTCTCCTGCCTCAGCCTCATGAGTAGCTGGGACTACAGGCACGTGCCACCATGCCCGGCTAACTTTATGTATTTTTAGTAGAGATGGGGTTTCACCATGCTAGCCAGGATGGTCTGGATCGCCTGACCTCGTGATCCGCCCACCTCGGCTTCCCAGAGTGCTGGGATTACAGGCGTGAGCCACTGCATCTGGCCTCCTCCTAGTTTTAATACTGACATACAAAGCAGTGTCAGGAGCTTGGATGCTGGAGGCAAGTGACCTAGTTTGCCTCTTCCCTCCCTGAGTGATCTCTATCAGGTCTCTGTTCTTCCTTCTCTGAAAGGGGTATATGGTACCTACTGCACTGAACGTCATGAGAATTAAATGAGATGAAGGAAGGCTGTATGCGAGCCCCTGCTAGGGCTGTTTAATTACTGGCCCAAACGCAGCACTTCTCAGGCACCTCTGGGGAGCATCAGTGGCATGGAGGTAGCTGAGGCTGTGTGCAGTGCCCAGCTCCTTCTCTCAGGAGCCACCATTCCCAGCTCTGTGCTCGGTTGGAAGCCAGACAAGCTCCCCACCCTGGCCCCTCTGCCTCTCTGTACACGAGCATGGTGGTGTCGCCACAGCTGCCTCCTGGCTGCTGTGAAGCGTCTAGAAGCATGCTGAGCCCACTGCAAAGAGAGTGTGAGTCGGTGACCACGATGATCCCTCAGCAGAGGGTGTGGCTGCCTTCCCATACTGCCAAGGTGGGGCAAAGCTTTGCTCCCCACAGTGACTGCCCTGCCCCCGGGATGACTAGACCTCTGCTTACCCTGCTCTCAAAATAATTATTCTGCCTGGCAGTAGCTGGTAACCTACCCTGAGAAGCGAGGATGAGCAAGTGGCACCTTTGGCTGCTCGTTCCCCGAGTTCCTAGCCACTTCCCAATATGGGCTTTGTGGCTTGTCCCACTCCCAGACGAAACTGATCTGGGCAGGAAGCAACTGTCTTCCTGGGAGAAGGCGAGCCTGCTGCCCCTGGAGGATGGCAACCACAGGGTCAGTCCTGGCGGGCTTCCTCTCTCCATCCTCACCGCAGCAATGCAGTCGGCTCTGGACAATCATTAGTAAGGATGAAGCACCGGTGGAGGCCAGGGCCTCACCTCTTTGGCCCAGAGAGAGACCACAGCAAGCTGCCTACTCCCCTATAAGATCCGTCTATTTGGAGTTGAGGAACACTGATGCCCACAATGCCACGGTTCCCAGCCTTGCGCCATCCCTGAGGGGACGGTCCTTTGTTCTCGGGCTCCATGCTCAGGAGCTGCAGGTGCAGGGCCTGTTTATGCAGTGATCCCATGAGCTCCCAAAATATGAAATCAGGGACAAATTTTACACATCGGCAGGTTCTTGAAAATAAGGTTTTTTTTTGTTTGTTTGTTTTTTGGCAAGGAAGATCATTCTTGTCTCCAATTTGGCGCTCAGGAACGTGCTGTCTCCAGAACTTGGGCATCCACAGCTTTTGAGCTAGGGAGAGCTCCTTCCAAGGCAGTGTTCAAGTCAGGCATTGCAAGCAGCCCAAGCAGTTGGTAGAGTATTCAAAAGTGGGGGCCATGTTTGGGCGACAGTTTGTCAGGTGATGGACACAACAGTTTGTGAGAGCTGCTGCGTCTCGCCAGATTTTTCACTTACACAAAATCCTACTGCAAATGCATCCTACTTGCCTTAAGAACTCCAGGATTTCCTTAAGTAGAAAACTATAACTCATGGAGCCATCAGAAACCATCCACTTAATGATTTTACAGAGTTGAGTTGATCAACCCAATCTTATGTTCAGTTACGCCCAGGAATATATGCCTGATTTGGCTAATGGCCAAGTCAACATCAGCCAGTGGATTTTAAATTTTAGCCATAGATATTTAAGTGGCTGTACATTAGAAATATGTACAAGGCCAGGCACAGTGGCTGACACCTGTAATCCCAGTACTTTGGGAGGCCAAAACTGGCAGATCACCTGAGGTCAGGGGTTCGAGACCATCCTGGCCAACATGGCAAAACCCCAGCTCCACTAAATACAAAAGTTAACTGGGTGTGGTGGTGGGTGCCTGTAGTCCCAGCTACTCGGGGGGCTGAGGCACATGAAGTGCTTCGACCCAGGAGGCAGAGGTTGTGTTGAGCCAAGATTGTGCCACTGTACTCCAGCCTGGTGACAGAGTGAGACTCTGTCTCAAAAAAAAAGAGTGCAAAACTGATCATTCTTGATTTTCTTTGCAGATCTATAACAACCTGAGCACGGTGGAACACATGACTGTCTACGAGAAGGAAGCCATCCCAAGCAGGTTTTATTACAAGAAAGGGAAGTTTGTCTCTCCTTTGACTTTAGTGGCCGACGAAGGCTGGTTCATAACTGAGGTAATTATGAAATGCATGACCATTTATTCACTATGCAAATTCTATAAAACAGTGCAAAGGTTAATAATAGTTACTCAGTTTTTACATGTAAAAGACTTTTTCACTTAGGCATCATTTGTTGCATTCTTTCTTTCTTTAGAGAATCAAAACTCGTGATCGGGTAATTTTGTAGACACATCTGTAAACGTGAACCCAGAGTCATGGTTTAGACTTCATGGCTCCAGACTCGCTGTGTTTTAGCAAACGGGCCTTAACTCGATTACGGGGCTTACAATGTAACCTGTTTGCTTTAAAGTGGAAAAATTACTCTGAACAAAGCAATTGCTCAAGGGTAGTCAAAAGCAAGGAGAGGCTCAGCTTCTCTTTCACCTTCAAGAGAAATGTTTGGCAAACGGGATTGTGAGTCCCCGGCTGGCCAATTTGATTTTTAGAGGAGATTATCATGCATTTTTGGTCCAAACTTTAATTGTCTCATGCCTGAATGATCTCAACAGCCTCCCCCTGGTTAGCCTGGACTCCAAGCTCAGCCAGCTGTGGCATCAGCTTACGATGCCAGCCCACGGTAGGAAGGCCTTGTTCTTTCAGAGAGTCTGTGGTCCTGCCATGTTTACAGTTAATTCCTGAAGACGGTACAGGTTATTTTAGGAATTTGAAGGGGGTTACAATTATTAGCTTGGTTCAAAAGTAATCGCGGCATGGGAAAAAAATCATCATTACTTTTGCATTTACCTGATGAACGGACTCCAGGGTACATGAGAGTAGCTGGTTGAGACCAACCAAGCGTAAGACCCAGGACTTGTCGGGAGCCCCCCGGGGGTGGAGGCAGGTGATGCTTGGCAAAGTGTGTGGGAGTCCGGGACATGGGCATGGGAAAATGCAGGTGTGTGGCACGAGCCTCAGTTATGCAGGACTGCGTGGCTTCTGGGTGCTCTGAGAGAGAAGCCCCTGGCACTGAGGAATGGAGAAAAGAGGAGATATGGTTAGGAAGTGAGCTACGCAGAGCAGAGGCCAGCGAGGGCTCCTCAGGCAGCTCTGGCTTCTCTGCCACGTGGTTTGCAAGGTCTCCATGAGGGTCCCTCTGCTCCCTAACGCCCCCTCTCTGCTGCAATCCAAAATGCTTCCTGTCGCCTCGTCACACCGTGTGAAGTTAACCTGGAGTGAGGCTGGGTTAGCACCACCAAATCAGGACTTAGAGTGGTTTTCTCAGGACCTCACACGGAGCACACATGTACTGAAGCAAGTCACCTGTCTCACTGTATTCCATAATGCCAACTCTCCAGGTCGCCCCAGAGGGCTCACTTTTTGAACTTTTTTTTCAGTTTATAAAATTCCGGCAGAAGCGCTTTGAATTTTCAAAAGCAAATATGCCGTGAAGGTTAACCCACGGCCGCCAGTCACTTCTTAGCTGGCCATCTGCCCCCCGTCGTTACTTTCTCGGCTTTAGCTGAAGTCGCCCTTGCTGAGAGGCTGGGCGGAAGGGAGGGAGAGCAGAAGAGGGCGGAGGCGATTGGGGCATCTTGCTGGAAAACAGGCTTAGGTAGGGGAGTGCAGGGCAGAGGTCACTGTGGAGATGCTGGATGATGAATGAGGTGCCATCTCAATTCCGGCTGGAAAGGTCTTGGCTTCCCACAGTAGAGTGTGACAGGTGCTGGGGGAGCAACTTCAGCCCTGAGTCCTCTCAGCGAAAGTAAACATGGTATCTCAGCAGCCAAACGTCCAGCATGAAGATGCGGGGCCTTCCATTGAGTGACGAAACGCAGTGCTGGGAGACCTCGAGGCATCCGTTAAGACGCTCTTGGTGATATATCACAGACCATTTGATAAATGTGGCTTAAACTAGAAGGATTTGCTATCCCACATGACTAGAAGTCTGCAGCAGGCAATTGCAGGATTGCTGAATCCAGTAACTCAATTACATCACGCCCAAAGCCAGCTCTTCTCTAATGCTCTTGGCTTTCCTCAAGGTCACAAGGTGGCTGCTGCAGCTCCAAGCATCACATCATATCCCGTTAGGACACCCCAAAGCAGGAAAGAAAGGGTGTGGGTTCTCTTTGCACATCTCCCGCTTTTATCAGGAGGCAAAATATACATACCACAACCAGGGTCAGACTCTGAGGTTTTGTAGCACTCCGGGGATTATAGAATTAAGGTGAGGGGGATCTCTCTTAAAGAAGAAGACATACACAATTTTGAATATAAAATTAGGTACAGGGACTTGGAAGAAGTTCACGCACTTGAGAAGCCTTGATGCATAAACTTTAACTGCTCTAGCAGCTTTAAACTTTAACCCGCCTAGCAGCTTCCCCTGGCTCAGCTTTGGTGCTGTGATCTGAAATTGTGCTGAAGCGCAGACCAGGGGGCCACAATCACAGGACAGAAGTGAAACCGAGGCCAGGAGTCAGGCAGACAGGGGCCTCGAAACAAACAACAGAGAGAAGGGGTAAGGGGACAGCAAGGACAAACAGCACCTCTGCGCCCATGCGCCTGGTGCTGGCCCTCTCAGGACACCCAGTGACGAGTCTGAGGATACGTCCTCCTGCCCCTGGCTCTGCTTCCATCTCCCGACCATCCTCCCGCCCCGCACTCTGCTGTGGGTCCAAGTACCTGCTCCCCTGTAGGAAACCGACACATTAATGCTGACCATGTTATGTTCTATTATATATTACTTTTGTATGCATTGGCAGATCACATACACACACACACACACACACGCACAGCACACACACACACACACGTTTGTCTGAGTAAATCAGAGATGACACCATCAGTTAGCAAGGGCTGACCAGTACTGCGTTCTATATACAGCACTGTACAGAGAAGCCACAGAACAGGAAGGAATATTACCAAGCTATTGACAATTCCTTGAGCAGCGTTTTAAAATATACAATCATTTCCAGAGAAAGATTTGAGGTAATTTCAAAGAGAAGTGAAGCAGAAATCCTGAAGAACCAAAAAGCACATCATAAATAAGATAAATAGGGTGTGAAAAAATACGATTAGCTCTGAAAGACGAGGATTGCTCACTAATAGACTATCCCTGGTGGCTTATGCTCCTTTAATTACTCATGATAAGTGCTGCAAAATTCATCTTCATCTGTCACGCTCGGGTCCTTAGGAACTCTAGAATGATCCCTCCCCCAAAGCTTTGATGACATGCATCTAAAGTTATTTTGCAGATAATAAATACATCAAGAAAAATTTCTGTTTACATTTTAGTCAATGACAGCGACAACTGCTACAATGAGAATAGCGATCCCGAACTAGGTGTGTTCTAGTTCCTGTTTCTACTTCTGATGACTCTGCATCGTGGGTTTTGCTAGTTTTTTGTTTGTTTTGTTTTTGTTGTTTTTTTTTGAGATGGAGTCTCACTCTGTCACCCAGGCTGGAGTGCAGTGGCGTGATCTTCGCTCACTGCAGCCTCGCCTCCCGGTTCAAGAGATCCTCCTGCTTCAGCCTCTCGAGTAGCTAAGACGACAGGAGTCCGCCACCATGCCCAGCTAATTTTTATATTTCTAGTAGAGACAGAGTTTCATCATGTTGGTCAGGGTGGTCTCGAACTCCTGACCTCAAGTGATCTGCCCGCCTCGGTCTCTCAAAATGCTGGGATTACAGGCCTGAGCCACCGTGCCTGGCTGATATTGTTAGTTCTGAAAATAACATACTGCTAAATAAAGTGGAACGCACATGTGGTTCCGAGCTTCCCAGAAGCCTACCCAAAGAGAACAATCACTTCCATTAATATAATTTATGGAAGCTATATCCATGAAGACAAATGTTTCTCTGGAAAATCATAATCGTCCCTGAGTCCTGAGAGATGCTAAGATATCTTTTTTTTTTTTTTTTTTTTTTTTGAGATGGAGTTTCGCTCTTGTTACCCAGGCTGGAGTGCAATGGCTTGATCTCGGCTCACCGCAACCTTCGCCTCCTGGGTTCAGGCAATTCTCCTGCCTCAGCCTCCTGAGTAGCTGGGATTACAGGCACGTGCCACCATGCCCAGCTAATTTTTTGTATTTTTAGTAGAGACGGGGTTTCACCATGTTGACCAGGATGGTCTCGATCTCTTGACCTCGTGATCCACCCGCCTCGGCCTCCCAAAGTGCTGGGATTACAGGCTTGAGCCACCGCGCCCGGCGAGATATGACTCTTTTAATGACTCTTTGCAGCTTCCTAGACTATCTTAATCATTTTACTTCCGTCATGGAATTTATGAGTTTTTATCATTAAGAAATCCTATGTAAAGGTTATAATTTCTGATTCTCCTTTTTTTTTTTTGAAATGGAGTTTTGCTCTTGTCACCCAGGCTGGAGTGCAGTGGTGCAATCTTGGCTCACTGTAACCTCCGCCTCCCAGGTTCAAGCGATTCTCCTGCCTCAGCCTCCCGAGTAGCTGGGATTACCCATATGCACCACGATGCCCAGCTAAATTTGTATTTTTAGTAGAGATGGGGTTTCTCCACGTTGATCAGGCTGATCTCGAACTCCCAACCTCAGGTGATCTGCCCATCTTGACCTCCCAAAGTGCTGGGATTACGGGGATAAGCCACTGCACCTGGCCCTGATTCTACTTTAACATAACATTGGGGCTTTATTTATTTGCTTTCTGAGAAATCCCCCCAAACAAGTGCCTGTTCTTTCCTTATTGGTTTAGACTTCTTTATTTACATTATTCTATTGTTTGTTATACTTTCTTGACAGCAGAGAATTTAAAATCCCATTCTATATCCTCGTTTCTGCTCTGTGCCAAGGCTATTAATTGCTCACATTCCTATTTGCAAAATTTCTCCCCAAATGGTAAAAGAACGTTAAGTTTTGTCCTGAAACCTACATACCCGTCCATAGCACATGCGTCGACGTTTCAGGGCTGGCTTGCGCTTCGCATCTGTGGCATAGCAAGACCCTTGCCCTGAAAGCAATCTCTCTGGGTCTGAGTTCAGCTGGAAGATGAGACCGGTTTCGGGTTTAGCCTTGATTAGGAAAACAGCTGAGTCAGGACACGGTGAT